GGGAAAGGTGTGGGAATGGGGGGCCCAAGATAGAAGAAGAGTGAACGAACATGGTCAATTCACATGTGTATGTATAGGGAAATACCACAGTAAATTCCATTCATCTGTAAAATAAAAATTAAAAAGAACAAAAAAAAAACCCAAAGAATTTTATAGGGTCTCTTCCTGTGAAAAATGAAGATAATAATATCTATAATTACAAGAGGCATTGAAAAAAATCAGTGCTCTAAATTTCCTCTCTAAAAGAGGAAATTAAGAAAAGTCCTCAATTTAAAAATTGAAGCACTTAAATAGATGCTTACTCTGTGGTTAGTGGTTATTCATATCTAGAAGAGAAGCCTGTGTGTGTGTGTGTGTGTGTGTGTATGTGTACACACACACATATATATGTATGTTTTTTTAAAAATAGGTAATTTCTGAATCAAAGGTGGAGGTCCTCAAAGCAGGCAGAGAAAGAAATACAGTGAGAAGACCACATAGGACTGAAACGTGCAAGGGGCAGGGGGCAATAACATTTTCTGGAAGCTAAACTCACAATGCTATAATCTTAACTTTTAAGAAAATCTTAAAGTGTAGTAATGAGGAAATAGGGAAGATAATTACTGCATAGCTAAAGTTGTTGGTATTATAATGAATGTTCAGAGCAATCTGCTAACTTAAAAGGGATGAAAACAATTCATGTGTCTTTGACTACAGCTTTTAGTCTATAATATTTTTATTTTTATCTTTATAACTCCAATGTATCACAGGAAAAAAAATGTTTTGACTATTTTTTTCATGGATATGGACAACCTTAGTGTTTACATGGGTGGAGATATCCTAGTCAAATGAGGGTGGACCGGGAGGGGGGTTGGTTTTAAAGGGGAATAGGAAACAAACATAGAAAAGCAGGTATATCAATTCCTTGTGGAATAATTCTTTTACTGGAAAATAATTTCTTTCTACCCATTGCCGTTAAAACAAAGCAAAAGGCCAATTTTTCTCCACATTTTAAAGACAAACCAGAGGCCACATCTAGCTTCCAGAAATGGGCTGATTTTGAAATAAACTTGGAACAGACATGGGGACACTCTGGAAATAACATAAGGATCAAATGGAACCAGCAGCTCTCTGGGTGTTTCAATACATCAACTATCCTCTAATGTCAGCCGCCTTGGGCTTGGGGATGAGTTTGCCGTACTGTCTTTATGCTCTTTTTCTGGTGAGTATGTCTAGTCACATGGCTTTATTTTTTTTTTTAATTTTTTTTATTTTTTGCAACTCACAAGAAAAAATATCATTTTATTTAATAGCCAACTATACACATATTCAAACATACATATAACTAAAACAATATTTACTCTTCCTATGTGGGAGGCATTGTGAAATATTCTCCTCTATGTTCTTCATTTTAAAAAATTCTGGTCACAATTTAGTAAATGGACATTGTAAATCGCTATTACAACCCTTAATTACTTTAGAACATCATCAATGCCAATTTATAATTTGAGGGAAATTTGTAGTCTTCTTCCTTTTTAGAATTAGCCTATAAGAGTACTCTAAGTATTCAGAGGGAGAAAAAAGTTTAATGTAGCCTAATTTCCACATATCCAGCTTGGACATAATATATGTTTTCAATTTGTGTTTAAATCACCTACCTTCCCAGGCCAAAGAGCAGAAAGAATGATTTGCAATCATGTAACACATATCCCTACAACTGTATTGCACATTTTATTGTCTTTTTTATGTATATTATTTCATTTGAACCTCACAACAACCCTGTGAGGTAGGCAGGGGAAATACCAGGTTCCTTTACAGATAATGAAGATAAGGTCAGTTAATGGACTTTCCCAATTATCATATAGCTAGTAAGAGGTGGAGGCAGAGATAGAATAAAAACCATCAAATTTCAGGTTGGGGGGTCTTTTCTCTAGAACACATAGAGAGTGTAATCTAACCTCATAAATATATGGGAGGCTTTTTGTTTTTGTTTTTGATGCTGGGGATTGAATCCAGGCCTTACTCATGCAAAGCATATACTCTACTAACCTCAAAAATTTTTAACATTTAATTCTCATTTTCACATTCTTGACCCAACTTTTTGTAGGCTACAATAAAAGACCTAATTCTAAACTTATTATGCCAAGTTTATTCTGTCCTACCAAGAAAAACTTATGGCCATAGAACACATTTTTTGGAATGCACCATTTTGTTAGCTCTTGTCTAAAGGAACATAAGCAATATGAAAGACCCTAATGGTCAAGGAAACTGAAGTCAGAGGAAGGGATATTTTTTAAAGTATATTAATGGAGTTGGGTCCCTTTCAGCTTTTATTTTTGTGAGAGGGTCCAATAGAGAGCTTTAATGCAGATGACACTTGAAACTTTTGAAGAGGATCTAAATCTTGATGTGGTTATTCATACTCAACTCTTGAATGCATAATGATGGTATGGTGGGTCATGGTCTTCAAAAACTTGGTACTTGATGCTGTAATCCCATCTCCTCAGTAGGCTAAGACAGGAGAATTGCTTATGCCCAGGTCTTCAAGACCAGCCTCTCCCAAAGTGCTAGGATTTGAATGCCACAATACAAATTGATTCATGTTTTTGTCCATTAATGGTCCGTGGGTTTCTTTAAATGAAGTCCATGTTAGAGTCCATAGATATCAGTGCTCTGTAAAAACTGCAGGGGATCCAAAGCTCCCAGACACCATAGACGCCCCACCCCCTACATGGCTTTAATATAACCTATAGGATGATGTCTCTCATATGTATATTTGGAGGGGAAAGGGATATTCATTTTTTTTCAGCTACTTGCTGACCTTGTGACTTTTTGTCTAATAAGTATCTCAGATTTTGTTTCCCCACCCCCACCCCCAGGTTAGCCTGCTGCAAACATTCCCGGGTTCATAATAGCATCACTATTAACCCAGATACTCAAGTCCAAACCCCAGAACCATCTCTCATTCCTCATCTCTCCTTCATGAGTAACTTTGATTAATTTTCCCCAAACCAGTCTGGAATTTATCTGTGTCTTCATTTCCTCAACCAACACCTGGACTGGATACAATGTTTCCTCACTGATCAACCACTTTCAACTCCTCCCACCCCTCTACAGTATTCCAAGTTGCTGAAGTGTCACAGGCTTACCATTCAGGACAACTTAGTGTTTTTTTTGTCCAATATAACAATTATGTTCTTCAACCTTGTCCTCATCCTTTGCATCCTTCTAGTGACAGTTTTGGGTATCAGGTTGTTACCCCGTCCCAATATCCAAGAAACAAGTGTTGGGGAGAAATAAAGGTTTTATTTAGTGGCCAGAGAATAGAGAAATGGAAGTTCGTGTCACAAATAAACTCTTCAACTCCAGGGAGTTGAGGGGTTACAGATGTAAACATAGAAAAAATGAGGGAGAGAGACAGGCTAATAAAGGGGAGGAATATTCACTTTTGGGTAATAGCCACAGATCTTCCAGGAACTTGGCTGCCACCTTTTTTCACTCCTTTTTGTTGATGGTGGTTGACAGATAACCTTTAGCCTTCAAGGGGGAGAAGAGATGGCTAGGCAAGTCCAGGTCAAGTAAAACTTGTCTTAATAGTTTTGGATATAACATTTCTCAGATGATCAACATGTGCACATGCAAAGCTGAACAGAAAACTGACCCAATGGTTAAGGTGGCAAAAGAGATACAATATGAAGGCAGAGATGCCAAGCCTTTTCATTCTGTTCCAGTCACCTACTAAATATGTGTAGACCCAAGTGAAGAGTCTGTGCTTTTAGCAAAAGCAGGCTACAAGTCTCTGGAAAGTAACCTAGGCAACCATTATCATTACAACTCACATGTCAGAGGTGTTATCTACAGCAAAGCTCCTGGGAGATGAATAATGTATTGCCCCGCTGCATAACCACCAAAATTCATGATTTTTAAGTCAACGAAGAACAAGCAAAGCTGGAGAGTTTATTAATATTTTTTCTTAGTAATAAGGTCACTTTAATGGAAGAAATGATGCACATGGGAAAAAAGAAGTGAAAATATTTGAGGGTAATATATATTACTGCCCCCCCCCATCTCTCTCTCTCTCTCTCTCTCTCACACACACACACACACACACACACACACACACACTGGTGACCACAGTAACTCACCTTGTGTCTATGGGGAAGCCAGGCTAAGGCTCAGTCCTTTCATCACCCTCATTGTGGCCCAGGGTGAGGTGGTCAAAGAGGTACTCTGACATGCCATTTCATGGGTCTCTCATTTTGTTACCCAGAATCAACAAAAGTTAAACATTTGCATATTCTAAAAAACTAAATGTTTTATGTAAAGTTGAAGGTGCCTTTTTAAAAACTTATTTTTATTTTTTGGTACCAGGGATTGAACCCAGGCACTTAACCACTGAGCTGCATCCCCAAACTGCTTTTTATTTTGAGACAGGGTCTCACTAAATCACGTAGGCTGACCTCCAACTTGCCATCCTTCTGCCTCAGCCTCTAGAGTTACTGGAATTACAGGCTTGCGCGACCAACCTCCCCCCACCCTTATTTTAATTCTCAATCCCGTTCCCTTCACTTGTCCCCCAGAAGCACCATCTTCTTATACTCAGCATTGAATAGCTACTAAGAGCCCACCGACATCCTCTCATGCAATCCTACCCCTCTTGTACACACTGTTTATAAAGGAAGATTGTTTTTGTGTTTTCCAGGGGCTCCTGGTATACCTTTCCTCTTTACCCATGGAGATTCTGAGTAGCCTGTGGATGGGACACGGATGGGCAGAAAGAATCCTGGATACACAAGGATCTGCCCTCATTCTCAAAAGATGAGCGTTTTGCACACACGCGCGCGTGCACACACACACATCAACTGGACACCTTTATTTCATTAAAAACCAAATAAATAACTTTATTGGAAGTAACAATCAAACTGAAAGGCCCACACTGAAGGGAACTTGCTGAAAGGGCAACGTGTAGGCCTGGCCTGGGGACCCACCCGGGGGGTGGCATGGGCTGGGCACAGTTCTGCTCAGTCGTCCTTGTAGCTGCGGCCCAGGGTGAGCCTGTCAAAGAGGATCTCGGCCATGGGGTCTTCCAGGGCCTGAATCCTGCGCAGGTTGGTCAGGTAGCCGGCCAGCTCGCGGATGATGAGGACCTGCTGGTGCAGATAGTGGCGCTGCAGGAACTGGCAGAGGTGGGGGTCGCCCCTCTCGGCGGCCAGGTGGTGCAGCTCCAGGAGGCCCCGGTTGAGGCTCTTCTCCAGGTGGAAGGCGCACTCCATGGCCTGGAGGCCGCTGTGCCAGTCGTCGTGGCCGGGCTTGGTGGTTTCGTGGAGGCGAACACCACCGTCGCGCTGGTTCTGCAGCTCCAGCAGCTTCTTGGCGCAGACCTTCCACTCTTGGGAGCGGCTCAGGGAGAAACTGGCGAAGTGCTGCAAGGCCATGTCGTGGCGATCGCAGAAGAACGCCACAGATAGGTACACGTAGGAGGTGTACAACTGCAGTTGGATTTGGCTGTTGATGTTGGCATCGTAGTCGGGGTGATAGTTGAGGAGCGCCTGTGAGGGCTCGGAGTAGGCCATGGCGGATGCCGGTGCAGGCGCGGGTGGCGCGGGCACGAAGTCGAAGATGGCGCGTTAACACTGACAGCAGACAGTGGAGTCGGCAGCTGCACTGGCCGCGGCAGCGGCTGGGTCTTCTGGGCGCCCCCAGGATTGGTGAGGAAGGTGCGGCTGGCAAAAAAATAGGCTCGGGACCCGGGAGGGTCACCGTTAGGCGGACCTGAGGAGAAATGGAAGAGGAAAATGGCGGCCGGAAGTGAGCAATAGTGGATGTTGGCCTAGAAATGGCTGCCACTGGGAAGGTCAGGGGTCAGTGATCAGTTGGTGGGGCCGCCAGCACCTAGTTCCATCCGCAAACTAGCCAGTGTGCGCTAACCTATAATATTTCTAAAAGGTACTTATGAATATAAGGACAAGCTTCTTGTGTCAATCACCTGAACATTTTCTTAAAGCAACTCATTGGAATACTGTCCAAATGTGATTGTTTGATAAAAATGTAATACTTTTTGTGGTGTCCTTAGTTAATATCATAAAGCTCTATTTAAATGGCACCTCTCTTTAGTGATTTCAAGCTTTATACTAATAATGACCCTTTTGAAGGAGGGGTTAGGTGTCAGTGGTCAGAGGCCAAGGCTTGGTACTGAGTTCCATCAGCAACCCAGGTGTCTTCACAATGTCTATTCTCCATTGAATTTTTAATTTTGCAATAACATTTCTAGCATTCAAGGACTTTCTCTTGTCTTCTGTTGTTTCCTTCTATAACAATGTGCTCTCTTTTTATAAACTTCCTGTCTTCCTTATAATTCTGAGAATATGAATTTTAATTTTGGCAAAGTTCTCTTCTGTTTCTTTTATTATACCTGTTTATTTCCTCCAGCATTAGTTTTATTTGTTTCTGGTAGTCTCCTCTTCATTCCCTGAAATAGCTGGCCAACCTTTGTTTATTCATTTGTGGGAATCAAGGACCCTTTGGATTTGCCCTAGGGAATTAGCATGACTCTGATCCACAGTTGTGAAGTCTTGGGAGGTCCACTTCACTAACAGGCTTCTCTGAGTATTAGAGTATAGCGCTTCAATTAGACAGTGTTCTCCTTTGGGGATACATGGCATAGATCATCCCAGTTCCAAAATTTGGGCATATTCATTAGAAGGCTTTAGTGGATCTCTCTTCTAGGCAATATGTGCTGCTGTTTTGTGCCCTTCTGTTCAGTTATTCAATTGTCTCAACCTCTAGTGTTATTTGGGTTTTCTTCCTGGTCAGATAATACTGTCTTTGAAATGTAGTTTTGGAGGACTAAAAGGGATCAAATGCTACTGGTGCTCATTACCTACTTTAACAGACATGGCAGAGGGGTATAGCAAGGTAGGGGCAGGTGGATCTGCTGTTTAGAGAGGAACTCTTTAATTTCATAGTTGCACCAGTACCCTCTGTAGTTGTTTGGTTTTATAGACACTGTTCTTGAACTTTCTCCAAGTATGTTTGACTTTCTACTGCAGATGTTTTTAATTTTCTGGACTTATCAGTCTGAAAGCATCCTTTGTTTTATCTTCCAAGCACTCCTTACCTTTTCTGCTTTACTAACTGTATGTGTGTGTGGTGTGTGTAGTAGATAAGTTTTTGTGTGTCTAGCTCACCACTATGGCTCCAGTAACCTTTTTTACTCTTAAAAATACAAATAATTATTTCTTAAGTAATTAATACATCCACATGATTCAAAAACAGCAAAAGTCTCTCTGCAGGCTACCAGTGGAATATTACTTTTTCTAATCAGGGGTGAAAAGAGGAAGAGAAGGAAGAAATAATGCTCACATTAAGCAAAAATCATTGAGGTGTAAGGGGAATCTTTAAAAATATATTCTTTGGAAGCACATTTGTTTTCAAGTTCTCATGAAGCATTTACAAAGATGGACCAAATCCTGGGCCATTCAACAACATAAATTTAGATGGATTTAACTCGTGCAAAGACATGTTCTCTGACCACAATAACATTAAACTATAAATCATTAAAAGAAAGATATCTGAAAAAAAAACTCTGCCAAATATTTGGAAAATAATAACATACATCCAAACAGTACATGTGTCAAAGAAGAGATCAAGGGGTATGAAAGTTATTTGGAAGTGAATGATAGTAAGCATAACATATCAACATTTGTGAGAGTCATCTAAACTACTTAGATGGGATTTAAAGCACTAAATGGCTGGCTATATTACATAGAAAAAGGTCTCAAATCAATTTTTTAACTTCCAAACTACAGAAACTACAAGAAGCAAGAACAAAATAATTCCAAATCTAGTAGAGGGAAGGAAGAGTTTGTTGCAATTCAGGAAATGTTTTGTGACCTGAGACAAAGCTAAAACATTGAGAACTCTGAATAAGACAGGGATATGAGAAGTCTTTTATTGGACATTGACCCCTAGGAAGAGGCCAGTGTAACTTTAAGGTCTGTGGTTGGGCAAATTACTTGAAATAGAGGTCTAGGTGAGAACTTCCTCCCCTTTGCATTCACAGGACATTGGATCAAAGGCATGAGGCAGAGTGAGGGTTCCTTGTAGACTCTACTTTAAAGTAAATTGAAGCTACTACTCAAGACTTCATCCTTTGAATGATATGTCCCTGCATGGCTAGAATCAATTGGCTGGAAAATAAAAGCCAATTTAAACATCATATGTTCTTTGTGTAAATTATTTTCCTAACCTGTTATCTCTCAAAGAAAATATAGAAATCCAACTTTCAGTCTAAGATTGTGCTTGGCTAATAAAAATTTTCCATTGTAGCTTTTCCTTGCTGTTTCATTTTTTATTTCTGTAATTGTGGGAATTGAATCCAGGGGCATGCTACCAATAGGCTACATCCCCAGCCCTTTTTATTTTATTTTTTTATTTTGAGACAGGGCCTCACTAAGTTACTGAGGCTGGCCTCAGACTTGCAATCCTCCTTGCAATCCCAAGTAGCTGGGATTACAGGTGTGCACCACTGTGCCTGGTTGCCCCTTGATATTTCTTTTAGTTTTATTTTATCTGTGTCAAAAGGTTCAGAGTGAGAGGAGAACTTTCAGCATAATTTTATTAGGCCCTTCTCCTACCCTCTCACTAGGGAGGGTATTCATGCTAAAAAAAGAAAAAAAAAGAATAGACATGTCCAACTGCCCCCTAAAGGAAAAGTACTTATTTTCTCCTTAGGCCAGTTTCTGCAAGTTGTATGTACTTAAAAGAGAAATGTGGTGACTGTAGTGGTCATAGTAGTGGTTTGATGCATGTGAGGGAGAGAAAGTGTGTGTTTATTTCTAAGTTAGAGTTACTTTGTTTTCTTTTGATGAAGTCCAGAGAGCTATAGAAAGTTCAACTCACTTTCCTCTAGTGAAAGAGAGTGAAACTGAGCATGAAGGAAAGAGAATAAAACTTACGGAAAGAAAGGCTAACATAACCTCAGCTATGACAGGCATATAAGAATGATCTCCAAGTAATTTTGACTTATTAGATTAAATCATCAGATTTTATGACAATTGAGTTGAACTTTCTATAGCTCTCTAGCAAGTCTCTATTAAATTTTCAGCTTTTTGGAGGGAAGAATAAAAAAGCTTTACCTAAAATTCATATGGGAAAGAAAAAGGACAAAGTTGGAGGGCTCATAATTTACTGAATTCAAAGCTTACTATAACACTCCATTAATAAGGTTTACTTGACGTTAGCATGACAATAGAAGTGATGAATGGAATAGAATTGAGGAACCCAAGATAAACCCATACATTTATGGTCAGTTAATTTTTGACAAAAGCAAGGAATAGTCTTTTCAACAAGTGATGCTGAGATAATTGGATAACCATATATAAAAAAGTTAACTCACAGGGCTGGGGTTGTGGCTCAGTGGCAGAGCGCTTGCCTAGCATATGTGAGGCACTGGGTTCAATCCTCAGCATTACATAAAAATAAATAAAGGCATTGAGTCCATCTAAAAAAATTTAAAAAAATTAACTCACAAGTGGGTCACAAACTTAAATATAAGAGATAAAAACCATAAAACTTTTAGCAAAACATTTAGAAGTAAAACCTTATAATCTTGGACTAGGTACTACTTTTGTAGCTATGACACCAAAATTACAAGCAACAAAAGGAAAAAATAGAAAAATTTGACTACATCAAAATTAAAAACTTTTGATAAAAAGTTAAAAATAATTTTACTCAAAACAAAAGAAAAGAATGTACAAAGAGAAAATATTTGCAAATTATATAACTAATAAGGAACTTGTATACAGAATATATAAAGACCTCTTAAAACAAAATGAGCAAAATCACATAATCCAATTGAAAAATGAACAAAGTTGCTGGGCATGGTGGCACATGCCTGTAAGTTCCAGCCAAGCTGCATAACAGAAAGAGACACCATCTCAAAAGAAGGAAAAGGAGAAGAAATAATGAGCATTGTGTTTAGATAAGAATATTTCCAAAGAAGATGTGTAAATTGCCAATAAATACATTCAAAGATACTCAATATTAATAGCCACCAAGAAAATTCAATCAAAACCACAATAAGAAACCATTTTACCCACACTAGGATGATAAAAATAAAAAAGACAAATAATGGCAAGTGTTGGAGATATGAGGAAATGGAAACTCTCATACCTTACTTGGAGGATTGTAAAATGGTGGAAAACTTGGGTCAGGTGCAGTGGCACATACCTGTAATCCCAGCAGCTCTGGAGGCAGAGGCAGGAGGATTGCAAGTTCAAAGCCAGATAAAAACCAGCAGTTTAGTGAGGTCCTGAGCAACTTAGCAAGACCCTGTCTCAAAATAAAAAAAATAAAAAGGGCTGGGAATGTGGCTCAGAGGCTATGCGCCCCTGGGTTCAATCCCTAGTACTAAAAAAAAAGAAGAAAAAAAAAGCATGTGGGGATCAGCACAGTGCACCCATTTTATAGAATTATTCCCTTAATCTCACGTTCCCACAACTTGCACCTGTCTGTCCCTTATAATAATGAAATACTAATATATGCTACGAAAAATATGAACCTTCAAAACATT